CACCTTTGCAAGCTGGGCTGGTTGTTGGGTTGGCGGCTGGGCTTGGCATGGGATGGTGCTGGCTGCAGGTCAGGGGGGCGGTTTCTTTTGGCTGGGGGAGGGGGAAGGGAAATGGCAGCATTCAGAGCTGGCAAGCTGGATCTGGTGGGAAGGCTTGGGGCTTCCCCCCCCATCCCGCAGGAAGCCAGCGCTGGTGCTCCAGTCTTGAGGGGGCTGAACTGGTGAGTGAGGAGGTTGGGTGAAGGGACAGGATTGAGGAAGCCACCAGCAGGGTGAGCAGGGAGCTCGTTGCATCCTGCCGCAGTGGACCATGCTGCCCACGGGACTCCTTCCATGTGGGCTCTGCCTACCCCCGTTCCCAGCCTGGAGCCTGGTGACGCTGACATGGTTACGTTATTTTGTCATCTCGCAGGAAATTTATATTTATATTTATATTTATATTTATATTTATATTTATATTTATACACACACACACACACACACACACACACACACACGAATTCTAAGCACATCCCATTGTCCTGGCAAAATCAAACTCTTGCTTTGCTTTAAGTTATAAGAGAAAGCTGCATACCAAATTTATTGGTCCTATCTCTGACTGTTTAGGAGAAGTTCTTGAACAAAAGGACTTGCAGACAGCTCCACATTTGTAAGATAGATAGTAAGATTGCTTTTGGAATCACATATTCTGTATCTGGCTATCTTTGTGGGTTGTTATATTTGGGTTGAAATCTTTCTATTTAGTACTCGTATATGTAACATTGGAATTGATTTTGGTGTATTCATTAAAGCCTTTCAAGACCAAAACACAGAAGTGTTACAGGAGTTTTTGTTTGTAGTAGACAACACATCACAACTGGTTGATTGCTACAGAAGATTTATGAATTATTTGGTGAAGACATTGATTGTTAATTCCTGAAATACTATTGTGTAAACTAGGGATGTAAGAGTTTAATTAAATAATCATGTAACCACATAAAATTTTAGCGGTTACATAACTATTTGATAGTCCATGGGGGTGGGGCCAGCAGCCAGTGCACTCCCAGCCTTACTCCTGGGGAGCCCCCTGCCAGACCACACTGTTACCTCTCTATCAGAGACATCAGAGTGAGGGTGGAAGGGACAGGCGGTTCCATGGATCCAGTGGTCGTGGGGAACCGGTTTAAAAGCTGCCTCCCCTACTCGGCTGTCTCTCATGTAATCGATAAGCCTAGGATTATTGGTTAATTGTGTAATGAACTAAATGTTGACATCCCTAATATAAGCCATCTAGATAAAACATTTGTCCAAAATTCATCATACAATGTTTGAAATGTCACTTTTCTGACGACAGAATTTTGCATTTACATCATTTTAATTCATTGGAGAAGTTTGATTTTCTGTATTTTAATCTAGTGATGCAAATAAATTGCTTGCATTAGTAATTTTTTAGATGATAAAAGTCCATTCCACAACACTTTCTGCTTGGCAAACTTGTTTCACTATTTTTTACCCATACTTCTGCAAAGGAGCCGGCTATCATTTCACTAGTCATTTAACTGACATATTCCTTATTGATAATCTCCTTTAATATTACAACTATGTTTAAATTTTGCTCACTTCTTTATATCAAGTGCACATTTAGCTGGTTAACAGCAAGCTCTTGATATTGACTTACATTCTTCGTGGAAAGTGTTCAGCATATATCAGTGGAAGAAAGTGGTAATATGATTTAGTAGCTGAGGGCTTGTGATTTAAAACACTTCTAGTAACCAGTAAATCTGCCTAGTTCATTTGAAACTGCATTAGATGATCTTTTCAAAGCATGGCTTAAATTTAAAAGCAATTTTGAATAGCTCTTTGATCTCAATATGATTTTACACAGCATGTGTAGTTCCCTCTGTCTAGTGTATGTAACTGTACAATTTTCTGATCTTCTGTTTTATTCTTATTCTTATACTGCATTTGGATCTTTGCATGGTAGATAAGTTTTGGGACGCTAAATTGTAATCAACAATTCTTACAGGAGAGAAAATCAATTTTTACCTTTTTGGCCCTGGGTTTTACCACAATGTAAAAAACATTATATGATGTTTCTTTATGTTCATTTCACTTGGGGAACGGTATCTAGGATGTCAGTGTTTTAAAAAGAATGTATGTGATCTAGGTGTAAAGCTTCACTTTGTCCACAACTCTGTGTGTATTGTTGAATTACTTGCTAGAGACATAAAATGAAATGAATGATAGAAGTGTGACATTTTTCTCTTCTAAATGAAGAAAATTATCTAAGCAAATTTTGTCACTGTTAATGTTTTGCATTGTAATGTATCATATCAAAATCTCTCTTTTCTTTAGTATTAATGTATGTTTTTTCATATAGGAGAATATATAAAAAATTGGAGGCCAAGATATTTCCTGTTGAAGACAGATGGTTCTTTCATAGGGTATAAGGAGAAGCCTCAAGATGTGGATCTACCATATCCCCTCAACAACTTTTCAGTGGCAAGTAAGTCTCTCTTCAGTGGTACCTATAGTTTTAAAATCACTATAAAGCTGTTTCAATCTTTGCACATATTTACTTTATTAAAATATTTTAGATTTCATAATAGTGTGCTTATATAAAGAGGGAGGGATGAACATTATCACTCAATTTAAAATGTTAACTGTTAGCATATTGATAAGTATCTCCAGCATTACACTTTATACTAGAAATTCCCTATCAAACCTAAAAATTTGATGCTGTGGCTTACGGTTGTTTAAACTCTAAACACCATCTAGGAAATACTACTGAAGTTCTACGAAATATTAGGTTTTGCAGCTTTTCTAATTAAAGCTTTTTCATTATCTGTAATCTTAACTAACTAGACAAGTAACTGTCATAAGATGTACATTTGTAGGAAAACTTTACCTATATGAAGAATATCTCACACTTTTCCTTTTCACATATTAATATCTATACAATCACTTGAAAACTCAAAGTAATTAGAAAATTATCTAGCCTGTCAAATGGCACAAAAATCAAGCTCAAGGATTAGCCTCTTGGATAATCAGGTAATCAACTCTCCACTCAGGATAATCAGTAGTTCCAAGCAATCAAACAGTGTCCATGTATTATATGCATCCTGTGGATAAAATGGATCCATCTTGATTTCCAGTTTTGCATAGAAAGGTTTAAAAGACAACCTTTTAGATTCAGTTTGTCACCAGAAGTAAGGTAGTAAGAAATATTTTCAAATGAAGACATGGCCTATGTTGTTTCCCACAAAAATGAAAATACTTGAGAGACTAAACTGAATAAAGAAATTGTGTGGACAAAGGTGTTACTAAGGCAAGGCACACCTGTAGTACTGCACCTGGTCACAACAGAGCATGTTAAGCTGTCCCACACTGTTACATTCTTACAGATCCACAAATTATAAAAGTTCAGTTATTGTAATATTTGTCAAGCTAAACTGTTAGAAAACTGGTATGGTATGATACAATATGCAGCCTATAACTCAGACTAATACAAAGAATGTGTAAATTACAGTTTATCATATAGCATCTGTAGTTCAGGTAGGGGAGTGGGCAAGAGAGATCCTGTGGCCAAGTTTCAGAAAGAACAGCCATAGGGGCAGTAGAAGGGTCAGAGAGTAGCATTTCATTATTATATTATAGAAAGGGTTAAGAAGTTATATGTTGCATAAAAATGCCCTTTGATATTTGATTTGAAAAATTAGGAAATCAGCTACATGCGGGAAATTGCTTCTCATGGGAACATGGGTGAGAAAATAAAGTGTTACTACCTTTTGGACACACTTAGATTTAGCGTCTTCAATTTCCATTAAAATCGAAAGGGTAGAAATTGCAGTATTGCACATGAAAAGGAAAAAAACAAGACATAATGAAATCTTGGAGTGCAACATGATGGTGGACAAGCCATGAAGGAAGTAGGGGAAGCCCAGATATTGTAAAGCCTGTTTATCAAATGTCTGGACAGTAATTTATGCTCCTTCTATAAGGAACTACTAAGGCCACCAGAATAATCTGGAACAGAGATAGACAGGAGAAGCTGTTAGCAGCTCCCTGTCATAGTCACAGAAGGAGACAGCTTTCACAGTAGAAGTCTGCATAAATTCTTGGCCATCCTGCAGGCAACAGCAGATTTCCTTCCAGTTCACATAGCATTTCTCCATTTCCTCTTAGCAGTGAAAGGAAGGCAGCTAGAACCACTAGAAGACATTTGAGTCCACTTTCTTTATGCTTAACCTTCATGCTGTACACATTCTACATGTGACTCTTCCAAATACAAATTTTCCCTTCCATCAAACTTTTAAGGGGTTTACTGAGGATTTTTTTTTTTTTTTTTTTTTTTTTGCCAGAGACTTGCTTCCTTGGGGATGTGCCTCAATGCTCAATGACTGCTGCCTTCTGCCTGCACCTTCAAATGTGCTAGAGCTATGGCACTTCCATTCTTACGTTATCCTGTGATTGGACCTTCTAGATCCTGCCTCTCAAGGGAGTCCTGTGGGACATCTAGCAATAGGTTGTTTTTCTGAGCCAAAGGGACTCCCATCTCTTCTTGGCTGAGAACAGTGATGGAGAGGCTGAAGTGGCACAGTATAGCTAGCAAATTTTCCAAAGAGGAAGCCTGAGTTCTGCTCTGTTATTTTCCTTGTGAAGGAGTGCTTGGGGGTTCATGTTTGGGCTTGATTTAAAATACCTAGGCAGATACGTACAATATTTAAATTCATAACGGAGACACACAAGTTAACTTTAGCAGCAATCAGTAAAGGGGACGTTCTATAATCCATAGACCTGAAGGAAGACTATGTTTATATAAAGTACCTGTTCAGTCAGCTCCCAGGCATATCCTTCACTTTACATATTGGCACTAGTGCTTTCAGTATTGCTTCTTACCATTTAGTTTGGTAACTGAACCTAGTATGTACAGACATACTCATAGATGCTCTGAGACAGAAACATGCACCTGTTTTTAATGAAGTTGTCAGAGACCTGGGCAAAGAAAAGGCAGAAAATACCATTTGGAGGACAGTACAGTGTGTGTGTTACTGTGGATTCATCAATTTCAGTTGTTTTCTCTTAGTGCTATTTTAAGTTTCTCTAGGAAAAGGAAGCTTTCATTTCATACAGACTTTGGGTACTTCCTAGGGCATGACCATTGACTTCTTTATCCCCTGGGTTCATCAGGCATAACTCTGTGATCTGAATGTCATCGTATTGGTCCTAATTTTGTTTCCATTTAAATAGGCCAGAAAAATTTTACTATATGTCTTGTCTGTCAAGGTAACTCTCAACTAACATATCCTCTGAGAGGCATTAAATCTCAATTTTGCACCTTTCACTGTGACAAAAATTACCATTGGGACTAAACCCAGTCTTTGAATCCAAAATAAACACAGCATTTCATTTTCCACAGGAAATGATCATACCCTCTTTTTGCCTCAAGCCATCAAATTTGAAGGGAGGCTTTAGTATATTCTCAGTGTGACACAGGCTTTACTGTTTTCATGTTGTGGATTCCACACCCGTTAGAAAATAGCTGAGTTTTTTTTTTGTCTTGTGCCATCCAGTATCAAAAGACAAAAAGACATTTAAGTTTTTCTTTCTAGGATGGATTTGTCTGGCTGTATCAGAAGTTTAAAGAGCAAGGTCCTTAGCTCCCTCATTTAATTTCAAAGGCCATTCTCTTAGAGCAGTGGTTCTCAATCTATTTACCATTGTGGGTCACATATGCAGCTCTCGCTGTGTTATGACTCTGTAGAGAGAGATTACCTGTATGTCTGCCAAAAAAATAACTTTTAGTATTTGCATCTGACTGCAATGTGGTTCAAATCAATTTACTACCTTTCATTTGAACACTGGCAAATCTCTACCTAGAGCATTTCATTTTGCTAATTTAAGTCAAAACATTAACTGTTAATTTGGTCTTACGTATATTAGGATCTGGAGTTGATGTATCCGCCTCATTTCTCCAGACAGACACCCAGAAGCAAGGAGGCAGTACTCTATTTGCTGACATCACTCTATCAACCTTTGCTCTTCCCCCATCCCATTCCCTCCCCCTGCCTCTCCCCACTCCATCTCCTTTATTCTCCACTACATCCTCTACTGCATTCCCCCATAACTGTCTCTTTTGCTGTCCTTTCCCTGCTGCTTCTCCCTGCCACCCCTTTGTCCTGCCATCTCTTTTTGCATCACTCCTCCCTCCCATAGGCATTCACCAGTTGTCCAGAAATGGGATTCAAGAGACACAGAAGATGAAGACGCTAGAACCTAGGAGGCAGCATTCTGAAGCTGCTTGCTGGCCTCAGCCAGGAGAGGGACAGAGGGAACCTCTTCACTCCCTGGCAGCTAAGCAGAGCTCCAGAAAAATTGAGGGTAAGGGAAGAGGGGGGGAACCAATGCCTGCTCAGACTACACCCTTGGCTTGCACTGGTTCTCATGGTAACTGGAATTTTAGTGTCTGGGCACCAGTGCTAACTGGATCCCTGGCAGTGTCCTGCAGCACGGGGAGACAGAGAGAAGAGGAAGTAGAGGCAGCAGGCTGCCATCTGACTGCTAGCTGAGCTCCTTCCAAGCCACAGGAGCCTGTTTTGCCTTTCCAGCTGGCAGGAGCTCTCCAGCAGTACTGCGTGAGCTTGTTCCCCAGCCTTGCCCCCTGCCTGACCAGGGCAGCAAACTTTGAATTATTTTTAGCACACAGCTACAGCATTGATCCACAGCTGTGTGCTAATTAGGATGCACGTTGCCCATGGGCCACATGTTGAAAACTGCTGCTTGAGAGCTATGGTGATTTCACAGGCTGAAATGTACGCAACTGGAACATAGCTCTTGTCCACCTTCACCACATCTAAAACTTGGACGTCATATCTTCCACAGCTGATGCCGTCAGATGGAGGGTACTCCAGGCAGCAGTTCTTTGGGGAGGAGAAATTCATAGTTAACAAATAGTTTGTTGATATTGGTTGTTTCTGCATTCCAATTTCTCAAGTTTGGCCTACTTAATACTTGCATTAAAATCACATGAACATAAGAATGGCCATACAGGATCAGACCAATGGTCTAATTAGTCCAGTATTCTGTCTTCTGACAGTGTCCAATGCCAGATGTTTCAGAGAGAATGAACAGAACAGGGACATTATCAAGTGCTGCATACCCTGGTACCTGGCAGTCAGAGGACTAGGGACACCCAGAACGTGGGGTCAAATCCATGACCAGCTTGTCTAATGGACATCGATGGGCCTATCCTCCAATAACTTATCTAATGTTTTTTTGAATCCTGTTATATATTTGGCTGTCACAGTAATCCAATTCCACAGGTTATAATGGGAGCCCCCTTCCATAACCATAACTACGGACACTTCACTAGAGGAATGGAGCGCACACAGTGATGACCACAGCACTAAAGGACGGTGGCCGACAACATAATTGACACTACACATCAACATCTTAGAACTTCGCACCATGAGAAAAGCATGCGAAAATTTCCTGCCATTGATCCGG